ACAATATTTGAAAATCTGGAATCTGAGGGTGCAAAAAAATCTAAATATTGAGAAAATCATCTTTAGGCTTTAGAATTAGACTGTGTGCATTCACACTCATTCTGCCGGCACGGCTCACAAATGTTCAAGCTCTCAATTATTTATATTTTTATAGTTAAAAATATACATTTATATTAAAATTTATATTCTATAATATGTATACACATATATTAGAATTTTTTTTAATTTATATATTCTATATATATATATATATGGGTCAAAGATAATGTGGTTGAAATAATGTTACATTGTCATTCAGTGTAACACAATATTTATGTAAAAATTCAAACAACATGTTTATTCTGACGTGTACACATTAAATTATATAAAGGAGAATAAAATGTCAAGATTTGGTTGAAATAATGTTACAGTCATTCAGTGTAACACAATATTTATGTAAAAATTCAAACAACATGTTTATTCTGACGTGTACACATTAAAATATATAAAAGAATAAGGGAGCGTATTAAATTTGATTGTTTTAAATTCTTACTGAACAAATGGGCAAAACCTAGGATAGTGGCACATTTTAAAAATGTTAAATTACAACTAATTAGTATTTGGGGTGAAGGTAATTAGTCTTTTAATATGTCATAAATTGATTTTTGTTGTAAATATGCCTGACAAGAATGTTACACTGGATGATATTTTAGCGGCTCTCTTCTGTAAATCAGGGGGAAATGTATCATATTTATTTTTTGCTCGGAAAAACAAAATTGCAATTAAATTAAACAGAATTTTTTTTTTTTTTACAATTTAAAGCAGTTTTACACTACTTCGTCTTTGACCCATATATATGTATATTTTATTTGTTACATTTTTAAATATTTTTATATAATTTTTAAAAAATTTTCATAGAGTCATTAGTAATTTCTTCAAGATCTTAGTTTTTTAAAATTATTAATACTTTTAAAAATACTAATTTATATATACATTTTTAATTTCATATGATGTATTCTGTATATACATGTTATAATTGACTTTTTTCTTATTAATATAACATATAATGATGTTCAGTTTCCCACCGCAGACTTTGACTCAACACAAAAGCTTTGTTTAACTTTGTTTCAGTCCTCATCATGAGAATATTGCTGTATGCGGTTTCTTTAAAACAATGACAGCGATGGATGGATTTGTGTTATTTACACGTGACCCATTTCTCCAGCAAACACTCATCATGCTCTCAGTGAAGCTCTCCAGCAATACTGACCCAAACCAGTGGAACTGTCTAGAGTTTTTATAAAGTTCAGATTATCCAGATTTGGAGCTGAAAGCATGATTGGACAGATGTGTTATCTGTGGTGTTTTATCAGACGTACAGCTTCAGTAACAAATCAAGCGTCTAATAAGCACCTAGCGTCATCAGCGTTTCAGCAAAGACAATCATCAGAAGCGCTCAGAAATCTTTAGCTGATCAATGGCCCTGAGCTTCTCTCATTGAGCCGATCTGCTTGACAGAATAAAGCTGCGTTCCTCCGCTTTACTGCGTCTGTCATCAGGATATTCACAACACACCGAACCAGATCCCGAGCACTCCTTCACATCCACGCATTTAACAGACACTCGTATACAAAACCAATAAAATAAAATAAAATAAAATAAAATAAAATAAAATAAAATAAAATAAAATAAAATAAAATAAAATAAAATAAAATAAAATAAAATAAAATAAAATAAAATAAAATAAAATAAAATAAAATAAAATAAAATAAAATAAAATAAAATAAAATAAAATAAAATAAAATAAAATAAAATAAAATAAAATAAAATAAAATAAAATAAAATAAAATAAAATAAAATAAAATAAAATAAAATAAAATAAAATAAAATAAAATAAAATAAAATAAAATAAAATAAAATAAAATAAAATAAAATAAAATAAAATAAAATAAAATAAAATAAAATAAAATAAAATAAAATAAAATAAAATAAAATAAAATAAAATAAAATAAAATAAAATAAAATAAAATAAAATAAAATAAAATAAAATAAAATAAAATAAAATAAAATAAAATAAAATAAAATAAAATAAAAATTATATATTATATATATACTGCATTATTTATTATTAAACATTTAATATAATATTTAATTATTTAATGAAGTGAGATCGCATTTACTGGAGATAAATGTATATTGATATAATATATATATATAATATATATCATTTTAAAAACCCTTGTTTTGTGTACTGTTAAGCTAACTGAGACTTGTTATAGCACTTACATATTATTGCTCTTTTGTTAGTTTTGATTGCTTCCTCATTTGTACGTCGCTTTGGATAAAAGCATCTGCTAAATGACTGAATGTAAATGTACATATCTGTTATTATCAGTCTCCAGTGTCACATGATCTTCAGAAATCATCCTAATATGCTGACAAGTTGCTCAAGAAACATTTCTGATTATTATCAGTGTTGAAAACAGCTGAGTAGATTTTTGTCAGGTTTCTTTGATGAATAGAAGGTTCAGAAGAGCAGCATTTATCTGAAATAGAAATCTTTTGTAACATTAGAAATGTCTTTGTCATCCCTTTTGATCAATTTAAAGCATCCTTGCTAAATAAAAGTAATAATTTCTATATTAATCCCCCCCCCCAAAAAAAAAATCTAATATATTCTGAATATAATGCTGTTCTAATTCATTAAAGAATCCCGAAAAATAATATCACAGGTGCCAAAAAAAATATCATGCAGCACGACTGTTTTCAACATTGATAATAATCAGAAATGTTTCTCGAGCAGCAGATCAGCATATTATACTGATTTCTGAAGATCATGTGACACTGAAGACTGGAGGAATGATGCTGAAAATACAGCTGCGCATCACAGAAATACATTACAGTTTAACAGAGATTCACTTAGAAAACAGCTGTTTTACATTCTAAAAATATTTCAAATTTTTACTGTATTTTTGATCAAATAAATGCAGCCTTGCTGAGCAGAAGAGCCTTCTATAAAAAACATTAAAAATCTTACTGATCCCAAACTTTTGAACAGTAGTGTATATATCATTTTAAACATAAACTCACCTAATTTTTATGTTTTGGTTTATTGTACTGAATGCAATCATAAGCGACATTCATGCATTTAACAAATGCTTTTATTCAAAGCGACTGTTAGTTATTAATTTAGCTTATGAAGTTGCTCGAATCAGCTTCAGATTTTGTGTAAGTGTAGATTGAATTGACTTCTTCAGCTGAGACCCAAACCTCAGATCCTCAGAAAGCCGCTGTTGTTCTTGATCTGTGTGTGTGACGCTGATGTGGAGCCCGATCTGGACAGGGGTCTCCAGGGGCCACCCATCCTCATGCATTATTGACAGGCTTTCTGTGTGTCTGTCATGAGGACCCACAATTACACCTGGTCTGACCCGTGTGTGTGTGTGTGTCTGTGTGTGTCTCCAGGGGCCACCCATCCTCATGCATTATTGACAGGCTTTCTGTGTGTCTGTCATGAGGACCCACAATTACACCTGGTCTGACCCGTGTGTGTGTGTGTGTCTGTGTGTGTGTGTGTGTGTGTGTGTGTGTGTGGTGTGTGTGTGTGTGTGTGTGTGTGTGTGTGTGTGTGTCTGTGGTCTGTGTGCATGTGTGTGTGTCTGTGTGTGTCTGTGTGTGCATGTGTGTGTGTCTGTGTGTGTGTCTATGTCTGTGTGCATGTGTGTGTGTCTGTGTGTGTCTGTGTGTGTCTATGTCTGTGTGCATGTGT